CGCCGCCCGCCGCCCCCCACCTCCACGGCGCGCTCCGCTTCGGGGACTCCCTCCCCGACGAGTGGCTCGCCGTCGCCCTCCTCTTCGCCCTCACCCGCGCCTTCCCGGGCCTCGCCGCGCGCGCCTGGGACTCGGACGGCGACTTCCTCCTCATCGAGGCTGCCTTCGCGCTCCCGCGCTGGCTCGACCCCGACTCCGCCCCCAACCGCGTCTTCATCTTCCGCGGCGAGCTCCACATCCTGCCGCCCTCCCTCTTCCCGGACACGCCGTCCCTCCAGGCCGCCCTCGCCGCCGTCCACGATGACTCCGTCGACACCCGGGCCTCCGACGCCGTCCAGGCCGCCATCCAGCGCCGCATCGCCGGGATGCCCGAGCGGGCCGCCGAGAACCTCCACACGGCGCGCGTCACCGTGCCGGCGCCCGTCGCCAAGGTGCTCAGGGAGGAGCCCTGCTTGATCGCGCGTGCGGTCGAGGGGTTCTACGACCGGGACATCGACACCATGAAGCACGCCGCGAGGATGGACAAGTTCCTCAAGGGCCCCGGCAGAGAAGGGGTTGACATGGTGAGGACCTCCGTGCGGATGACGAAGGCCATGTATGGCCAGCTCATGCAGCAGAGCTTCCAGGCGCCCAGGGGTTACCCCATGCCGAGGAGCGAGGAGGGTCCGGAGAAGTGGGTGGAGGCAGAGCTGGGGATGAAGATTGCGTGTGGGTTCGAGATGATGTACCAGGAGAGGCGGCACGAGGCGGAGGAAGGAATGGGGAGCACATGGGAGGTTTACAAGAAGAGCTTGGAGGCGGCTGGGTGTTTTGAGGGGTTGCTTCCTGGTTCCAAGGAGTATAAGAGGGTCATGGAGAATGCAATGCAGTATTACAAGAGCTCGAGTTCGTTCTCGCGAACAAGGTAAATTTTGTTGCTCATAGTTGTGGATTTACCTATGTCGGAGCGTGTTAGTGTGTTACCATTTATTCCTTTATTAGTTTCAAACCTTAAAAATTATGTTATCTATCTGTTTCTTCTGCAACTACAACGGTGAGAACTAATAGATTCTGTAATGGACAGTAGTGAGTGCGAACCAACATAGTTCTTCAGGCCACCTGGTTTAATAGGTCATGAACTCAATAGCCATCTATAGTATGAAATTCTGGCAGTGTTCTGATACTTCTGCGGTACTTCACAGGGAGATGCTAAGTGCACCGGTGCGTCGAATTGATGAAATCCTTGCGATGCCGTACTCGGCAGAAGATTTTCAAGGCATTAATCTTCCCCCGAGTGATGATGATTCTTGGCTGCGTAATGGGGAGGATGAATTGAATGCAGAACTTCAGGAAAGGCAGAAGGAAATGGAAGAGTATGCGGCTGTAAAGAAGAATAGAAAAAGTCAAAAGCAAAATGTCTCCAGCAGTTCAAGCTCCCAGCCAAGCGAGTTTAATCTTGGAGAAATCACAGAGTCCATGCAAGATTTTGTTCGCAAAATGTCGAGTTTCGAGGGAGCTGAAGTTCCCACAAACAGGTTCTCTTATAGACTCATTTGTAATATCTGTTCAATGCTTAGGCTCCTTTTGGTATTGCATCTGCCTTCCAGAAGCATTTAGTAACAGTTTGTTGAAAGCATCTTTATTTTTATCCCTAGCAAATTATTCCAGAGTGCCGCACAACAACCAGACGTGCACTTGGTTCTCAGTTGCTCATATCTTCGAATAATTTACCTTTGCTTGTTAAAATAATTACCGTTGTACTCCCTCCGTCCGGAAATACTTGTCCTCGAAATGGATAAAATGGATGTATCTATAACTAAAATAAGTCCAGATACAACCATTTGGAGGACAAGTATTTCCGGATGGAGGGAGTATGTACATAAGGATCATACACTATTTTCTTTCTGTACCTACGTTTGGCCCTGAAGTTAAAAGTTTAAACCACCATCAGGAAGGAGAGGCATGGGATGAAACATTTTAGTGTGAGCATCTGTATCTACAGATATAATCTTTTGTCAAACAGGAATCAAAATGCACTAACTTGCATGTTAAGTAACTTTATCTTATTTCGGTGAAATGTGTACGCCATCTGGAAACATTGAACAGAAAGTAAAGATGAAAAATGTGAAATGCAAACTGGTAGAGGCTTAGATAGAGAGGTAGCATTATGCTGAATTTAATTTCTACTAGGTGGAAATCATGTAAACACAACACTATAGCGCAACCTTATAGTATGATTTATTAATTTATTGCGTTGGATACATGTTATGGTTCATGTTTCACAGCTTATCAACCCTGACATTTGATA